ATATCCAATTAGCAAATAAATGTATGGATGCTAATCCTTCTAATAGACCAACTGCATCTGATATTTATAAAGAATTACGGATATGGTATAAGATATTAAATAATGGCAGTGCAGAAAATAAAGATGAATTGGCGATATTAAAAGCATTCCAGTCTGCGGATGCAATTATTTCAACATTATCAACCGAATTGCCAGGTTTTTCTAAAGATAAACTTACAAGTAAACTGCTTAATTTTAAAAACCTTTCTAAGCCAATTAATTCTTCGGAATTGCTAAAAGTTTACGGTAAATATTTACATCTATTATATCTTAAAATTAATCGATAAAAATTTTAATTACTTTTTTAATTCTTTAGATTCTACTATGTGCAAATTTTCGATTTCTGATGACAATTATAATAATATTTCACGTATGTATTTAATAATTTTAATTTCTAACCTATAATAGTATATCATAAATTATGCATTTATTTATTTAAATACTTCGTCTTTACAGCAAATGATTAAGTATTACTAGATCCTTCACAGGACCTAAAATATTGGCAGTTTCGGACTAACACAAATGAGTCAATAATAAAGTAATTTTATTTAAATTACTTATCGCCTAATTATTTGATAAATATATTTCAAATTATTTGAATAATAAAGTTTAATGTTAATTTATGCGAAGTTAAAGCTAGAGCTATTGAGTTTTAATCGAGTTTAGTTATACTAACTGAACCAAAGAAACAAACTTTGTTCGAAAATTTATATAAGGCAATACAAAGATAGTTTCTTGATTTTTATAACTTTAGAATTATAAAATAGCTTCAACCATATAGCCTTTTTTTATATATGAAAATTTTCTTCAAAACATTTATTTCCATACTCCATTATTTGAGGCTTCTTTAGCTTTCTTTCATGTTTGTTTTTCTCATTCCCGATGTATCAATATCCAAAAATCCTTTGAAATAAAGTTTTGAATTTTTATTACAAAATATCCGAATAATGAATAACATGAATAAAAAAAAAATCATAACGATCGTAATTCCTTGTGCTTGCAAAGTATGAAATTCTAATATTTTTAAAATTTTGACGTTATACTGATATAATCTTGATCATTGATCCTTTTTCTTATAGCAGTATAGGGGAGAACGTTTATTTAAGTCTCATTTGTCTCCCCTCTTACCATCCGCCACAAAAGCAGAAAAAACGAAATAAACCAGAATCAGATATTTCATCACATATGATATCATGAATGCGAAACCTCTAACGATAAACCCCCTACCTATTTATATAAGTAAGTTCGTTTTTTGATAAATAAAGCCCAGTGTAGTATGATAGTTCGTATCTACAATAGGTAAAGTTAAATACTACAGTAATATACGTATGTAAATGCTGGTTAATTTCAATTTATACGTTCATATATAAGTTTTTCCTCAAGTTGGCATACAGTGTCAAAAGGTTTTGTTGATATTTTTCCGTGCATATGTGACTAGAGATGGGCACTATACTGCATGGTGTTTAATTGTCAAATATTGTAATTATAATCATGTAACAATTAATCATCATGTCCATCTCTATGTGATATAATGAAAAGCGATAATGAACATTAACGTTCATGTTTTTTCGATTAACATATATGCATAATACATAAATCCGAATTTCGTTATTTTTGACCGGCATCTCAAACAAAGAGATCATTTAAAGTCTGACGTTGTGACGCCTAAGATGTACCCCGATCCTCTTGCTTATGGGGACAGTCGTCGAATTCAAACAATCACAAATACTGTGCTTACGATCGACAGATCCTAGGTACACAACCGATTATTCGTAAAGGTGCCCATAGGTAATTAGGCTAACTTGAAGATCGGATGTGACCAGCGTTCCGGTGTTCCATTCTATTATATTTTGTATGAGCTCGTCCTATATTAAATTCATTATTGTATTGTATAAGAGCAAAGTAGTATTAGTTGCAATTGTTCATCGTAGTGTAGCTCACCATCCTGTAACTTGTATATAAGAGCCTCGTCTTTAACCTTTGTAAAGGGACTTGGTGGGAAATTATTCGAATTCCCCCTTATTATTATTATATCTCAATAAATAATATCCTGTGTCGTCATACATGTTAAATTCCTAAATTATTTCAAAGTGAACGTTACCTCGATCGTGATCACGTGATATCGTGAGGAAAGTTTCGATCGAAATACTAAACTGTTCTACTATAATAGATTTTTCTGTATCGTCATATACACCTAAATAGTCTGCCTCTTTTACAATTACATATCACCGTTAGACCTGTAAAGATTAAGTGCAAACATTGATCTAAACCTAGTTAACCAGTAAAAAGGACCGCCGTAAGACATTCAATTATTAACATCCTTGTTTACTAACGTAGAAAGTAACCATACAGATAAAAGGAGTAATACTGAGTTAACATTTTGGTGGTGACTGTGAGATACAGTCTTCAATAAATATTGTAGTAAACAGAAGGATAGCATAGTATATGCTTGAATATAGCCAGTTTGTAGAAAGAAATAATCAACACAATTATCAGCACACACTCTATCCTGGTACTAACACACAGATTCTACAACAAATTCAAGGAGTCATTACAGATTACTCTTGTGGATTGTGTTACCCTATTATAATGACCCTTACACAATCATTTAATAACTTTTGGACTTAGTTTTTCATTGCATACCCTGTATACAAATATACTGAGTATACTATTTACAGCTTCAATTATATAAAGCAACACAAAAACCCACTCAAAGAAGATTTTCAAGTTCTAATTTATACTTGTCGATATCTACAAGATCCTGGGTTCAATAGATTAGTAGGATATTTAAGTCAAGTTTATCAACGAACTACGTGATTTGATCTTGATCCTTTTCAAATCCTCTATGACCCTCTAGAACAAGAAAATCTTGATTCAGATTTAGAATTTCAAAGACTATTTCATATGCTGTCTCCCTCTCTTATTGATCAAAATATGGCCACGACACAAGACGTTTTGAATTTCCTCCAGAATAATCAGAAGGGTTCGATCCTCTTAAGAATAGAACCTTTTCTAGGAGATGATATACAAGATCCTTAGGCCTGGTTAGAAAGTTTTGAGAAAGCTGCTGCTACAAATAGATGGAATGATAAACAAAAAAGAGAAGTTTTACCTGCCTTTTTATATGGGAATGCTGATGAATGGCAACAGATGTATTACAGTGCTCATAATGTGACTAATAATTATCCTGCAGATTGGGTCATCACCACAGGTACATTTAGAAGACATTTCTGCAATCAACGGTGGCAGAACAAGTGCTTAAGAGACCTAAATGCGTTAAAGCAACTCCCTGGCGAATCTGCAGATATGTATTATAGTAAGTTTAAAAAGTTGATTAAATGGGTGGAAACAAGAGGGAATCTCCAAAATGTCCAGAAGTTGTATTATTTTAAGAAGGAGTTGTGTCCAAAAATGCTCTCTTTAATCCTAATGCATAATCCTGCCAACCTTGAGGTTGTTCTCAATTTTGTTTATACACATGAACACAGAACAGATTTCGTGCTAGATAATAGTCCAAAGTGGGCTGGGAAATCAGCAAACTATGATAAAAAAATAGAACAACTTACAAAGCAAATGCAACAAATGATATTAAATTACACAACCATTATCTTCACACTTACAGCACAGACTGAAAGAGTAATGCATAATCTACCCATGTTTCCTCATGAGTCATGACAGAAAAAAACAATTATGTTTAACTGTTACAGGTGTGGGGAGCCAGGTCACTATACACAGGACTGCCTAGCTGAATAACTACCTACAAAAGAAAGAAGATATCAGTCATTTAAACAGTTTGATACAAAACAAAATAGAAATATTAATTTTGTGGACATTGACGATGATGAATATGAAGAGGTATATATTAATAATGCCCCTCATATGCAACTATATAGTACTAATAGAAGAAGTCCCATTTCACAAAATCAGAATTGATTTCATAGGACCATTAAATAAAACCATTAAGGGAAATCAGTATATTATTGTTGCAACCAATTACATGACAAAATAGCCCAAGGCAAAGGCCATAACGAATGCTACAGCCTAGGCAACAGCTGATTTCATATATCAGGAGATTATATGCAGGCATGGATGCCCTTTCTATATAATACATATCAGATAGAGGAGTCCATTTTAATAACGAATTAATAAGAATTCTAATGCAAAAATTCGAGATTAAGCATTTGTTATCGACTCCATACCATCCTCAAACAAATGGACTTATAGAAAGATTCAACCATACTTTATGTAAATCTTTAGCGAAATTGGTTAATAAAGATCAGGAATAGGATCTGTTAATACTGTCCGTATTGTTTGCTTATAGAACTTCCAAACAATCTACAACAAAGCTTACACTATTTTTTCTTACTTATGGATAGGAAGCAAAATTTCTGAATTTTGGACAAACAGAATCTGTGAATGGAAATATGATTGAACTAGTGGGTATGTTAGTCAAAGAACTATCTAAAAAACAGAAAATTGCTAAAGAAAATATTAACAGAGCCCAACAACACCAAAAATTTTACTGAAACCAGAAATTGAGAAAGGTTTGATGACTATTCCAACAAGGGGATAAGGTCTTACTATTTAATGCAGCCTAACATAAATGATTTTCTGATAAATTTTTACCAAAATAGTTAGGATCATATTATATTCATGGTCGTGTTGCACCCGATGTCTATAAATTGAAGACAATGAAAGGGAAAATAATAAGCATACCCCAAAATGCACTACTATTAAAAAGGTACTATGAGAAGAAATAGTTATGTTAATTTCTTTTTTTTTCTTGTAGAACTCAAAATCTAGCAGGGGAAAATTGTGATGCCTAAGATGTACCCAATCCTCTTGCTTATGGGGACAGTCATCAAATTCAAACAATCACAAATACTGTGCTTACGATCGACAGATCCTAGGTACACAACCGATTATTTGTAAAGATGCCCATAGGTAATTATGCTAACTTGAAGGTCGCATATGACCAGCATTCTGATGTTCCATTCTATTATATTTTGTATGAGCTTGTCCTATATTAAATTTATTATTGTATCATATAAGAGCAAAGTAGTATTAGTTGCAATTGTTCATCATAGTGTAGCTCACCATCCTGTAACTTGTATATAAGAGCCTTATCTTTAACCTTTGTAAAGGGACTTGGTAGAAGATTATTCGAATTCTCTTTTATTATTATTATATCTCAATAAATAATATCCTGTGTTATCATACACGTTAAATTCCTAAATTATTTTAAACTGAATGTTACCTCGATCATGATCATGTGATATCGTAAGGAAAGTTTTGATCGAAATACCAAACTGTTCTACTATAATAGATTTTTCTGTATCATCATATACACCTAAATCGTCTGCCTCTTTTACAATTACATATCACTATTAGATCTGTAAAGATTAAGTGCAAACATTAATCTAAACCTAGTTAACCAGTAAAAAGGACCGCTGTAAGATATTCAATTATTAACATCCTTGCTTACTAATGTAGAAAGTAACCATACAGATAAAAGGAGTAATACTGAGTTAACAACGTCTTAACCAATAAAATTATGCATGAAACTGAAATTTACCTATAAGTTATCTTGTTTTGCATATTCTTTATATAACCAACTCTTCATTCGCTTTGTTTCTAATATAATTTTACTATTATGATATTAATAAAATAACCCAGTATAACAAGATTCTTTTCTTTATGTTTGTATGCAGATCCCAAAATTAGTTTAAAAAAATGAATAATCCATGATAGTGTGATATGTTTCTTTGATTATATAACATTTTCAATTGCATTTTTTTTTATTATATTATTTAAACTTATGCATATATGAATACTTCGATTTTATATATAGAAATCTTAAGGTGAACTTAAAAAAATAGATTGTCTAATCTGATACAAATTAAATATAACCATATTCTTCATTATGTTCCTGATATCAGTTATTCTGATATAAGTTTTTTAATGATGAATAAGAATTCTGCTTGCTGTTTATTACTTGGCAACACTTAACCAAAATTTTTATATATTATTGGCTTAACTATAATTATTTAGTAATTGTTCTATTCATGATCTTCAATCTTTAGATTATCAACTTTAAACATGAATATATCTGACTAAAAATCAAAATTTTAAATAATTTAAAGATTATACTATTAAATCTCTAAATATTTATTTAATAAATTGATAATTTTTGAGTTTGATACTATATACCAAAATGGGATACATATTTGGGTTTTGGTTATGAACCCAAACTAAGTAGAAATACTGATTCCCAAATGCAAACAAAGTAAAAACACTGTAACTAGAGATAGGCAAATCATGGTTTTGCCAAAAAATCCCACACAGGATTCATGCAGGATTTACAGATTATTACCAAGATTACCGTAAGTTTCAGCTAGAATTATGACATTGGCTTGAATTATCCAGTACATCACATGATAAATCATACACTTGCCCATTACTAGCTGTAACTAAAAAAAAGAGTTTAGGTCGCAACCCTACTACCAGCCAATCAAATTGCTAGACACGCACTGTTCGTACTGTACGTGAAAAAAATCTGGGTATCATATAAATGGCACATCTCTCTTCTATACAACTCTTATTAGAAATAGAAGAAAGATTTACTAAGGGTGTTATCAAGTAGCTTTATCAATGTGATTAGCTAATGATCAAGATGTTGCAGGTGGAGGTTATTGTGGTTAATCAAAAAACGTATTGCAAAAATTCATTTGAATTTCAAATTTTAGCCAATCAGAGCAGCCCTATGAAAAAACTTTGTGGTCACAGCTTTGGTATTTTTTTGTCAATTAGATCGATTGGTAAACACTGAGGAAGATGGCCTTAATGTGAGATTTGGGTTTGTTGAGAGCTATCAGTAACACAAACATTAATATAAAATAATTAGTAATTATGTGATTTCACTAAAACAAATTGCATAATTTCTAGTCAGGGACGATGATTTTCTGCAAAATGCAGAATATTATAGAATTTGCAGAAACTTTTGAATTCACTTGTCTTTGCAAAAATTTTATTACAGATAATTATAGAAATTTGCAAAAAAAAATTTATTTTGCAAATAATCATTTCTGTCTTTGATTAATCGAAATTAATTGAAGAGATCCTTATAACAATTTTTTTGAGGATTTTAAATTTCAACCAATCAGAGTAACTATAAAAAACAGGATGGTTAGTGTTAACCCAAGTTTTTTGAGAAATTTTTGTAATACATAAAATTTTTTTTTACATCAATGATCTCATGTTAGTTTATCATGATAGTGAAAATAGCACGCATTGTTTGGTTGCAACCAATGAAATTAAGGATTCCATCATTTTTATCATGTGGTTAGACATTTTTAGAGAGTTGTATCCAATTACATATTGATCTATATCTTGCATAAATTGTATTATCGTTATTGATACTTTTATAAACCAATTTGTTTTGGTTTTTTTTTTTTTTTTTTTTTGGTATTAAGGTAACCTCTTTGGTTCAAGCTTTTTATTAATACTTATAGTGAGTAGAGGCCTGCGTTGGGTCCTGCAGCCTGGCCGGGCCGGGCCTGAAGCAAAATTTTATAATTGCGGGCCGGGCCGGGCCAAAAAATTTGCAAAACTTTATAATTG